TGCCCTGGACGTGCTCACCAAGTTGTGTCAAGAAATCTGGAGAACAACCACTTGGCCAACTGACTGGAAGAGATTTGTATTTGTCCCCGTTCCAAAGAAAGGTGACCCAACAGAGTGTGGAAACTGTAGAACAATATCATTGATTTCGCATGCAAGCAAGATTCTGCTGAAGATTATCCAAAAACGACTGGAACAACACATCAGCAGAGAATTGCCAGAAGTCCAGGCTGGGTTTAGAAGGGGTCGTGGTACTAAGGATATTGTAGCTAATGTTAGATGGATCTTGCCTGAAAGCAGGGAGTACCAGAGGAATGTCTATCTGTGTTTCATTGATTATGCAAAGGCGTTTGACTGTGTGGACCATAACACACTGTGGCTGACTCTGAGAAGAATGGGAATCACAGAACACTTGATCATACTAATGCGAAACTTTACTTGAACCAAGAAGCAGTCGTCAGAACAGAGCAAGGAAACACTGCATGGTTCAAAATTGGGAAGGGTGTACACCAGGGATGTGTCCTGTCTCCATACCTTTTCAACCTGTATGTAGAACAGATCGACCGGAAGACTGGGCTCTATGAGGAGAAATGCAGCTAATCAAAAGGTTAGCTATTCAAATCCACCAGCCAAATGCAGGGGAAAGAAGAACCTTCTGTTCTCATTAAGATTCACAGCTTTAGATTAGAACCCAATCATCCTATACTTTAAATGCATCCTATTTTGATATGTAGTGTGTTCATAATCATTGATTTTTAAGCAAGTCTGTTCTATTACCTGCATTACTCAAAAGTTATTTGATAGAAAGGCTTTTCATTTTCAAGTCATAGGGCCCTTTTAAAACATTAACTTCTAGTTTTCTTACACCATGATGTAGAGTCTTTGACATTACATGTTTGCATTTTTTTAACTTAACACATGATTTCTTTATGATCTAAGGGTGTTCTGGTGGCTTAGAGATCAGGAGTTGTGCTGCCTACTCAAAGGCATACAGTCAAAATCACCCAGCTGCTCCTCAGGAGAAGGATGGGTGATCTCTTCCCATGTGATTTATAGCCTCTGAGAACCCGCTAGAGGATCAGTTGTGAGTGGGTTCTGGCTCAAGGCACATTAACAACAACGATGTGTATTTCAATTCTGTGTCCACTCAACTGCTCCTTGGAGGCAGGGAGACTCTGTCTCACATATTTTGGGCATGTAGCCAGGAGGCATTAGTCTTTGGAGAAGGATATCATGCTTGGAGGGATAGTGCAAGAGAGGAAGACCCTGAATGAGATGCATTGACACAGTAACTGGGATAATGAGCGTAGATGTGTCTGAAACAATGAGACTGGCTCAGGATAGAGAAGGCTTCAGAGCTGTTGTGCAAATACATTTGTAGTCAGTTTGACTCATGGTGCCCCCGGGTTGCTATGAGTTGTAGTCAACTCAACAGCACATAAAAACAACAATCTTTACAATTGTTGTTATTGTTGTTGTTGTGTACTGTCAAGCTAGAACCAACCCATAGCTCACCCTCCAGTGAGTTTTCAGAAATGGTAAATCACACAGACGGAGATTGTCTTTCTTCCACAGAGCAGCTGGTGAATTCAGACTACTATCTTAGCTCTGGCAGCACAAATCCTTGAAAAAATCTTCTGCCAGGAACCTCTCCAGGGTACTAAGAAGCATCGATGTCAGTTTAGAGACTAAGGTGCACCTAATCCATGCCATGCTCTTTGCAGTTAACTGCTATGTATCAGAGAGCTGGACAGTGAGTAAGGATGACAGGAGACAAATTGATGCTTTTGAGTTGTGCTGCTAGAGAAGGGTCTTGGGCATACCATGGACCACAAAGACAACAAATAGGTCTGTCCTGGAGAGGATGAAACCAAGTTTCTCCTTGGAGGCTAGGATCTTGACGTTCCATGTCACATACTTTGGGCATGTAGCCAGGGGGGAATCGGTCCTTGGAGAAGGACATCATGCTCTGAAGGTTAGAGGGACAGCACATGAGAGGAAGACCCCAGATGAAGTGAATTGACACAGTAACTGGGGCAATGAGGGTAGGTATGTTGAAGTTAGTGAGACTAGCTCAGGATAGGACAGGCTTCAGAGCTGTTGTACATAAGGTCACTAAGTGTGGCTGACTTGATAGCACATAACAACAAGAAGAAGAAGCCACCAGAGCTCCCTAATCAGTTACATTAGTCCATGGAAAACAAAATTTGTACTCATGATTGTGTAAAAAACTCTGCTTTAAAGAAAAATTATTAAGTTTGGAAAATATTTGCAGTGTTGGACACAAGCTGGCGGATCACTATGGGTCCCCACTGATTCACTGGGTTTGGTTTTCTGTTTTTCAGGTTATGAAGTAGATTTCCAGTTCTTTCTATAACAGCATTGCTAGATGAATTCAAGCTGCCAGCCTCTCCCTCTCTCACTCCCTCTCATTGTCCTTTTTTCTGATCCAACTTTTAGCTCCTTTGAGGTTTCCAAGGCCATAAATCACACAGAGGTGATGGCCTGTCTTTCTCCCTCATGCCCACTGGTGGGTTCGAACTCCCAGAGAGGTGTGGCTGTTGAGTTAGCGGTGCACCTCTCCATAGAAATCACCAAACTGTCCAGGAACCTTTGGTGGCACTTCCCTGTAATACCTAAGAAATAAAATTGTGATCTCTTCCAGTGTGTCAGGGAGCCACTGGTGACGTGGATGGGGCACAGATCGTCTTTAAAGAAGTGCAGAAACTCTTCAAAAGGAAAAACAACCAGATCGAGCAGTTCTCAGTGAAGAAGGTATGTTGAAGCCCCTTGCTCTGGCGTGTGATTTCAAATGGGCATTTGTAACCCACATCGCCTTGGATAGATTTTAGACGATCATGGTCAAGGCTGGAATTTCCTTCCTTTTAAATCTGAGAATTTACTCCCATAATCACAGTACTTCTCCTGTGAGTGGAAAGTGTTCATTTTGCTGGAAATAATTAAAACAGATGCTACTTCTTCGTCTTCTTTTGAAGTGCATAGAGACATTCTGACTCGGCAAAGTTAATGAGCGGACCTAGAGAGGGAACGTGAAATAGTTTGGGAAGAATACAGATGGACACAGCATACTGTGAGATGCACACGGCCTCAAGCTTAGGAGAGCGAACAAGGTTTCTTTGGATTTCACGGAAAAACAAAAATGTGCATCAAATATACCAGCAAAGAGCCAGAGGAACAATGTCCCTAATTTGTTCTTTAGTTGTCAAAGTCAAATTTAGCTGAATTGCCTTGGGTTACATACATTTGACCTTATCTTGATTTTGTAAGTTTTTATTTAGAAATTTTCTTATGTTACAATTAGGGAGCTCTGATGGCCTAGGAGTAAGAAGCTGTGCTTCCAATCCAGAGGTTTGTAGTTCGGACCCACTAGCTTCTCCACATGTGAAAGATGGGCATTCTCCTCCTATGTGATGTATTGCCTCTGAAAACCTGCCAGAGAGGGTCGGTCAGCTGTGGGTCATTTCATACTTGACGGCACTTAACAACATTGATTAGGTTATGATGTGGAATGCCACTAAGAGCTTTGGGACTAATTGGAAAGTTAAAAAGTCAATGAAACTGTCTCTGAAAGGCATCCTCACAGTAGACCAACTGAGTAATAATGCTTATTACTCAGCTTCTACAAATTCTATAGATTTAGACTAAGTTGCATCCAGTTTCCAATGTATATATGTATATATGTATATGTATATATGTATATACACACACGTACACATTATATATACACACACACACCTCCAACCTGTTGCAAATTGGAAAGTAAAATTCTAAAATAAGAGAAATTTTTCGGTTTTTGCTTTGTAAAGGAGCAACTCCAATTGAAAAAGACTGAAATGTTACCCAGACCTGCACCTTCTTGATTGTCTTTGAATCTGTGGTTGCAGGTACTGTGTCATCTGGATTTCTCTTGGCTTCAGTGGCCCCTCACTTCTACAAGCATGATAGATACCCTTCTCCCGTGGTTACTTCCTCCTGATGCCTCATCCAGAATGAACTAGTTCAAGTCTTAGATTGGATTCTTTGGTCCACAAGGTTTTCCTTGGCTAATATTTTTATTTGACTGCCCAGTCTTTCTTCCTGTTCCACCTTAGTCCCAAAGTGCCTGTTACCACAGGTGAGCTTGCTGGTATTTGAAATGCTGGGGACATTGTCTCCAGCATCCCAGCAACATGCACGCAACCACAGTGACAAACTGACAGCGTGGTGGTGGGAGAGGAACTGTTTCAGCAAACGTGAATGTGCTTTTTTTTTTTCTTTTCCCGATGTCTCCAAGTGTATTTTCTTGGAATCTGGTTGAGAAAAATGTGGCCTAATTGTTCTGACTCCTCGTAGGCAGAGAGATTTCGGAAACAGACGCCAACCCAAGTGCTGTGTGTGCTGGCATCCATTGAGGTGTTATACTTGTGGAAAGCCCTCCCGAACTGTTCCTTTCCCAACCTGCAGAGGATGAGTCAAGGTAAGAGAAGAATCAGCTACCTACACTGAGCTTGTCTTTGACATTGCTTTCTTCTGTTTCCTATTAATATTATCTGATGCAGGCTACCTCTAGCTATACCACAAAACTATCGTTCTTCAATAAATGGTAGAGTGTCTAAGAATATGCAGTTACTTAGATGTTGGGAATAGGGGACATTGAGTTACCCAGATGTTTCTGCATCATTAGGAATGGATGGTAATGCACACTTATTATGGGTGTCATTAATTCTGTATCCATAGAGGTTGCTAGAACCATATACTTTCCCCCTAATTACAGATGTATAAATAAAGCATAGTATCTTCACCATTATCAGTATATAGAATATTTTCATCATCACTCAAATGTTTCTTGTGCTTGTTCTGAGACAATTCCCATTATTCCACGCCTTCTGATCTGTTCTGATCTTCATAGATAGTCTTGCTTGTTCTTGAACTTCCTATGAATGGAAACAGACCATGTATATGTCTTTGATACTGATTTTACTTGCTCCATGTTGCAGCCTGTATTACTAGGCAGTTCTTTTGACTTGAGAGTAATATTTCAGTATATGGCTATTTAAAAATTAAAAATTGTTGCTGTCAAGTCATTCCATCTCAAAATGATCCCATGCATTACAGAATTGACCTGCTCCTTTGGGTTTTCTTAAATGTGATCTTTATAAAAACAGATTGTCAGGCCTTTTTCCTCACTGGTTCAAGTTATCCACTGTTAGGTTAGTAGCTAAATGCTGTTAGGGCTACCCAAGTTATAACATAATAGTGTTAGATACTTCACAAATTGTTGTTCAACAAAAATCTCTGTTGAATTTGGTGGGTGGAGGAAGGGTGTGAAGGAAATGGGAAGGACTTGGCAGGGACCTGAAAAGACAGGGTAATGATGGGCAATTATGTGTATTACATTGGAGCAAATGAGGGAGAGAACTGTTTAGAAGGAATATATGAATGGGTATTCTTGTCATTACAGAATTCTAGAGTGAAGATTGCACAGTGAAGTGGACTTGGGGGGAGGGATTGCATAACAATAGTTTTTATTTTTGAGGAGAGGAGTGAATTGGGGGGCAGGGAAAGAAGTGCAATGATGAATGACTGGGGGAAAAACATAATTCATGGGAATGATTGTATGAAACACAATGTGAATGAAGAGTTGTATGAAACACAATGTATACGAACTTTGTAAGCAGAGCAATATAAAATTTAAATAAGGGGAGAAGAGAATGGAAAAAAGGAGAAGAGTTGAAAACACTAGGAGGTTAGTGGGCAGGTAGAGAGCTAAAGAAATAGAAATTTAATGGGGACTTGAAAAAAAGGGGAGTAATAATAGGTATAGATCAATAGTAATATAAAATAAAATGTATCTGAGTTATTATATGAAACACAATGTTGTTGTTGTTGTTGTTGTTATGTGCCGTCGAGTCATTTCCGACTCATAGCGACCCTATGCACAACAGCCCTAAACCCTGCTCTATCCTGC